TATGTCCAAAACTTATTCGAAATAAATCAGAAACGAGGTCTTATAGTTCAAATTGAAACTATGTTCGAGTAGTTCCAAACTATTCTTAGTCGTGGAAGGTGGGCGTAGTGTAATGACAGATTAATTATTGATTTTGTGAGAGTGTCATGGCCGAAAAGGAAGCCTAAAATATAATTTCATTATACCGGTTGCATTCAGTTGTTTTCATTTTCTTTCTTTTTAGTTGATCTAGTTGACCACTGTAAGATTGTTTTCCATTATAAATGTGTGTTATTTCTCAAATTTATGTTTTTGTTCTGTTATTTATAATTTTATTTTTATAAAATATGCTCAGTAATTATAGTGAAATGTGTCGCGTATAAGCAGGTCCAATATAGGTAGTTTTTTGTTGAAACTATTTTGCCATTCAGTGAAAGAATTTACATAAATTCGTCAATTATTTTCAAAAACAACAAAGTGTGGGTGGAAGGAAATATCATTGTACTTCAAAGGACACTAAATCACTGTACATCCTACTTACAGACAAGTATAATGGTATCAAAAACGCCATTATTGCGACAATACGTTATAATGAAAATTCGGTAAAGTTATGCAAGTGAGGCATTGTTGCAGGATTGTAGTGCTTTTAATAAACATGAAGTTAATTATTTCGCTTGTACATAAGAAACTAGCAAAAATAGCAAAAAATATACCGCAAACCCGATCCTGCTATATCTCATTCAAATACAGAGATACGCCACTTGCTTAGAGGAAAGGGACCTAATATGAGATAGGAGCGCAAGTAACAGTCGCCATCTAGCGACAAGTGCTGAAACTAATTCATCAAAACGTCAAATGAGAGCTGCTCTTAGAACGCGGAGCGTGCATGTGGTTTTATGCACTAGTGTAATACCATAATTTTATTAGTACTCAGTTTGACGTGATTTTTGTGCTGAAAAGGTGAGGAAATAAAAAAGTATTACTTATTTGCTTTGTTGTATGGAAGTTGCTTTATTGTTTAAATATATAAAACGCGTGAAAACTAAACTAAGTTTTGAAAAAAAAAATATATAAATTATTTTTACATAAGGTTCCTAATATGAGATACAACGAAGTTCCTAATATAAGGTATCTCATATTAGGAGAACTTCTTATTTTCTAATAATTTAATGAACATTTGTTATAGATGCCTAGAGACGATAAAAAAGAAAGTAATGGGATAAAAATGTCATGATAAGGACTGTTAAGGCAGTAAGAAACAAGGAGATGGGGTACCTTTTGGCCTCGAAAACGTTCAATGTTCCGAAAGGTAAGCTTACCTATTTTATCGGTTTAGCTTTTTTTTATCAATTTTTTTAATTTTTATGAACCATTGAACGATATGCAAAAGACAAGAGGAGTACAGAGGACCTCGTAAAAATATCTTTGGTTAGGAAACAAGTTTTACCTGAAGTTCTGGAGAATCAGTTAGCAGATTACTGCATTGAAATGGAAAAAAAGTATTACGGTCTTCGAAGGAGAAACGTCAAATATATGGCGTTTCAGTTAGCAATTAGAAATGGTTTGAAGCATCCATTTAGCAGTGAAAAGGTGTCTACAGGTAAAAAATGGCTTAGAGGGTTGTTAACCAGGCACTCACAGTTGTATGTACGTACACCACAGGCAATATCTGCTGCGAAAGTTAAAGGGTTTAACGCTGAAACGTTGCGCAATTTTTTGACATATTTGAAAAGGAGATGGAAAAAATTTATTTTTCGCCGCATAGATTATTCAATGTTGTGCAGCATAAACAAAGTAAAATAATCGGCTTGAAAGGGAAAAAAACAGGTTTGTGCCATAAAATCACAAGAGAGAGAAAAAGTCGTCACCTTTGTGACAGCCATGAATGCTTCTGGTACTTTTGTTCCACCCTCAATAGTGTTTCCCCGTAAAAACATGTCGGAACATCTGATGGAGGGCGCACCTCCTGGATCAATATGGACCTGTCATCTATCTGGATGGATTCAGACAAATAGTTTTACGAAGTTTGTTAGTTTTAGATGGTCACTACTCCCACACGAGAAACAGAAATCATAGACATGACCAGAGAAAATTATATTTTAATTGTGTGCTTACCACCACATACGACTCATAAAATGCAGCCATTGGATGTGGGTTTCATGGCACCACTAAAAACGTATTACGCTCAAGAAATAGAGACGTTTCTCAAAAACAACCCAGGAAAAGTTGTGACACACAGCAACATTTGCTCACTATTTGGAAAAGCTTATAATCGGGCTGCAACAATGGAGGCATCGATTAATTCATTTAAAAAAACATCTGCCTTTACAAGAAAGAATAATTATTGAAAATGAAGGAGATATACCAGCAAATATTTCAAGTAAGGACAAACATATTTCAAACATGTCATCAGATTTAGTTGTGGATCTCCCTGCAGAGTCCGAAAAAGCTATGGTACTTCCATCAACATCATCAGGTTCTGCCAACATCAATAGGTCAGATAAAAGTGGTAAACTTTTGCTGGTCTCTCCAAAAGAAGTTTGTCCAGTGCCCTCAACCTCTTCAAATTATAGTGCGAATTCTAATAAAAGAAAAGGCAAAGCAAGCTTAATAACATCTTACTCCATATAAAAAACTCCATTACCAAGAAACTAAAAAAAATAAAGGTGTGAAACCACAATCTTTGGGAACAATAGATAAAAAATTCAAAGCTAAAAGTAGCAAAAAGGCTGAAATTACATCGAGCAGCTCAGATTCAGAAGCATCCGTGTATTATGATGACTCGACTGATACTGGAGTGTCGGTTTTGCTATGGAAGATTTTACGAAGACACTCGTGGAGAAAAGTGGGCTAGATGTATCGTTTGTTTTCAGTGGTGTCACGAAGATTGCGACGAGCTTGATGGCACACAATTTGTTTGCCCTATGTGCGAAAAAATAAAAGAGAAAAAGCTTTTGTTCGATTAGATTTTAGTGTTGTTACACCTTTGATCATCATTTCGATTACATTTAAAATAAAGCAATAATTTTCTTTCAGTCCCTCTATTTATTTTTTGGGTATCCTATTATGAGACAGTCTTTTATTAGGAACCCTACCCTATACTTAAATATACTTAAATCAGCACTATTTATATATCCCACTTATAGTCTAATTTATATAACAATTCGAATGTATATCTCCAACTGTGTCTTGACTTCAACTTACTGACTTTCGCTGCAACACATCCCGTTTATATATAAAATGGTATATGCTCCAGATTATTCTCGCTCCCACCATATACATACACTGGCGTCTCCGGCAATTCCTCGAATATGCATTTACCAAATACGTCATCGTTCTAGTATATTCTATGGATGATTCGCTACGGCTAGCCATAAGCGTAGCACCAAAGGGTTGAGTTATTTCTTTAAATATTTTTAACAATCGGACAAGGCAGGAACTTAAAGGATTAGTGATCAGTGTATAAATTTAAAAGGAAAATATTGTGAGGAAGTGTAATTTGTATTTTGTTTTACATTTACATTTTTTTCGCACATTTTTACAGTGCTCCTCGTAATACAGTTTTGTTATGCTTGATGAGTGAATTCCAAGAGCCTTGTTGAGATACATAAGTATATTGGATATAATCACGAAAAATCCTTGTATTAAAACTTGGAAAATTGAGATATTAAAATTAGCCTGGATTTCTTTATTTCTGCTGTGCTCCTTCTGGCAATCAGTTGTTTGTCAGTTATCCTTTAAATTCCCAACCAACAGTTACAGTTGTCCTCAAAATGATGGACGGTTTTATTATGAGCAATCTACATTTTCTTAGACCAACGTAACATATATTTTCAGGCATTTAATGTGATAGGTTCTCGCAGTTTGGAGCCATGGACAGAATGAGCCAGTGGCGTACGCTCAAAATTAAAAATAGTTTTTGAACGTATACTTGACTGAACGTGTTCTCATATACGAGTGCTATCGGTACTACCGATAGTCGCATAAGCTAATGCACTTGAGTGTATTAATTTACCGATATCAAAAGTTGTATTCAATAGATTATATCACGGATTAATAAAATATGACAGCCCAATAATTAACAGTTCCAGTACAAAAGCAATGACAAGCTTGCCTATCACAACTATACAGTATTAATGTACCTAGTATGATAATCAGCTGTTTACTAGTCAAGTACGGTGTATGATGGTCGATTTATTAATAAACATAAAGTATAGGAAATTATTACATTGTGAGTGATATAATCTATATCAGCAAGTTGTCAAAATAAATGATTTGGTGACAGGATGAATCCTGAATACTATAGTCTGTTACAAGACAGATATAATTCTTTGGAGCGTCTTCAAATTGTAATTATATTGAGGTGACCCTTTATAGTTGGCTTATTGTTGAGTACAATTATAAAAATCGCCATAAAACCTGTCTGTCCATCTGTGTGAACGAATAACGTACCAATCCAACCAAGGGCAGCTCCAGGTCGAATTTTCGGAGGGGGCCATTTAGACTGTCTAACTAGGACTATAAATAGTTCAAGTCGTCTATTCCCATTTTTAGCAAATATTTCGATGACTTTTTCAATGTCAACTGTAACGTCTCTGTGAACGTGAAGCAGACAGAGACCTGTGAGCCGTTTTTCTCCCATCCTCGCCCTTAACCAAGTCTTTACTCTTCGTAATGTTGAAAAACTCCTTTCTGCCGTAGCCACGCTTACTGATAGTAAAATGATAATTAGTATGGTTTTTAAAGTACACAAACAGAGATATGAAATATATTAGTCATTTATATATTATATTACTGTATTCAAATTACCTGGAAGTGCGGCCTAGATTCTGAGAAGATTGTGGATTGTTGGAAATATATTTAAATCGCAAGAATCTAATACTTCCATAACATCTCCAGGCAGTTTCTTGTTTTCTCTTTTTCCGACTTCCAATGATTTTTCCAAAGGGCAAGTTCTCCTTCAAACAGAATAACTGTTTGTCTGTATGTCTCTGCTTCCAATTATATTGGAAAAATTTTTCAAAGGATGTTTCCAAATATTTAATTAAAATAGTTTCATTATCTCTGTTTGCCTCGGCTAGTATGCTGAGAATGATTCCTCGCAGACCAAAACAATCTAAGGAACTAAAACTTAACCTAGAAGACAAGTCATTGGATACATTGTCGAAGAGAGGAATATAAATTGATCTTCTGCAATATTCCTCTTTACCTCTAGGGTAGTTTTCTCGTTTGGTCTGCCTACCTGCTAATTCAGGCAACTTTATTTCAATATCTAATCCTGTTGCTAGTTCTGTAGCCTCTTTATAAATTTTGCTAAAATTCTGCTCACAATTTTTTCTTTTTTTCATTGATTGTTGACATCGTGTTGGACACAGCTGTAGAAGCCCCGTTAGCGTCAAGATTTGGCATTTGAAGAAGTCGGCTGAGTGGTAATGTTATTTTTAATATATCAATGACAGATAACATTGACAACAAAAACTCAGTCGTGCACAAAGAGTTTAGCAGAGTTGTTGCAATTGTAGAAGTCTTTGCATCTTTCCATACCGAGATTAACGTAAGTGCTTCAACTATTTGAGAAAACCCAGATCGAAATTGAATTACTCCTTCGTGACGCTCAACCCACCTTGTTTCGCATAGACTCGTTAATTGATGTCCTAATATTGATTTCAAGACTTGGTTTCTCTTAGCCGACATATTAAAGAAGGAGACTACTGACTTCATTACTCCAACTGCATTTCTGATGCAAACAACATTTACTGAAGTCGAAAGAGAGTTGTTTTGGGCATGATTTATGCAAGGGCACCTGCATGCATTTTTATCTTTTTTTTTTTTTCTATTTCACACACACTGTTCCCAATGATTCAGACGACATTACACTGCAACTGTCAGTACCAATTCCCACACAGTTGCTTAACTCTATAGGCAGTTCCTGCAATATATTAACAACTATTTTTCCTAGAGCCTACTTACTATGTTTAAATTATTAATACTTTTGCGACGATAGGTTATAGCAACTTATAGCCACAAAACTATTTTTGTATTAAAGTAGATCCATAGAGAGTAATGTAATTTACAAAGGCCTTATTTCAATATACAAATAAATGACAACTTTATAATTAAAATGAAAAACACAACAAAATACCTCGGTATCATAATTGATCAAAATTTGAAATGGGTTGATCACATTACGTCATTCAAATCCCAAGGTAAGAAGATTCATTTTTAAATTTTATAAATTGAGGAAATTTATGACCAGGAGTTTACTAGTTATTATTTACAACTCGCTGGTTGAATATGTATTCCAAAATTGTATAATTAAAATTATCTATAAAAAAAAAACAGCATTATATCCTACCTCTATCTTTTATATAATAAAAAATCCTTTGTATAAGAACATTATATTATCTGTTTTATTGTACCTTTATTTATGGAAAGCCTGAATTGAGATACATTACAAATTATTTGCAATAAATATCAAAAGAAGCATACATTTTTAAATAATTTGACATTTAAGAGTCATTCACACATCACAGTCGACATCTTGATACTTGACAGGTACAGCCAAGCAATATTCTGATTTTTGCCAAATAAAATGGCTGGTTAATTATTCTATGGGGTTGCGACAGAGAGCCAGTAAATTTCATGATGGTGTTTTTGTGGCTAAAGGTGAAATAGTAGTACGCTTAAGTTAGCACCACCATAAAAAAGACATTTTTAAGAAACTGCTTATATATTTTTCATAAATTGGCAGGCTTGGCGACTAATTTCGAATAAAAATAGCCTTCAAAATGGCTATGGTTGCAAGTATGAAGGTCGCAACCCGCATTAGAAATTTTACCTTTACTATCAACAGCTGTTGTTTGACAGGTCGTTAGAGAATGTTTGCAATTTATGGAATGTGAAGAATGTTGATGTTAGAAATAATTGGAATTCCTAAAATTGTCACATAGGAAATGCATAAGCGGATTTTAAGAAAATTGATATTAAATTAGATAGGATGAACCGAAAATTCTGAAAACCAATAGGGAAGTAATTATTCAAGAAAATCAAAACTGCAAGTCAATCAGAACTTTCGTTTTAGAGTTATCGTGCCGGCATACATACACACAGACGACCAGACGAATTTTTTTTTGCATTTTCGGACCCAGAATGATCGGAAACATGAAAAAAAGTTTTAAAAAATGAGGGTAAGAAAATTTTTTCGTCTGCCCGAATGCAATACTGAGGCCCCACAGGAAGGGCCTCAGTAATAACTCTCTAAAATTGCCTTCATTACTAGGCCCAGCCTCTTCGTCTAGGCAGCCTTCATCTCGATGGCCTCTAAGAGGAATGTTTTGTCGACCTAAGAACGGTATTGATTCTATTATTAGGCATAATCTCTCTTTATTTTCTTTTACCTGTTTTAGCCTTTGAATACATATCTGATTTTCAACTGGGTTATGCTAGGTTTGTAGGAAATCCATGCCAGCCTAAACACATATTTTGTGGTAAGCTGTGTTTTCATGTGACTTAATGAATCCGTCTTTACTCAATAGTTTTTTTGCAAATGAAGTTACCGAACTACTTACAAGCTTTTGGACTCTCACTCCTTTGATATGCCCACACTTTTCATCAGAAAATAAAACGCAGAATTTAAAAAGCAAACCCTTCTTAATGTAGAAAACAACAAGCTAATTCCGGTTTTTTAAGTGCTGGTGACGTAAATACCGTTTTATTGGACATGATGGTGGGTGAGGTTTTCCGGGTTTTCCTCACCTGTAAGTCAAATGGCACCATCAATCATCTTTAAGTCGCCCCGGAGCGCCACGGCAAATAATAGCCGTCCCTTTCCCCGGACAAGCTCAGCTTTTGGGGTTAAAATTCACTCGTAAGGGGGTGAATTAGGGAGAGTATTATTATTATTATTATTATTATTATTATTATTATTATTATTATTATTATTATTATTATTATTATTATTATTATTATTATTATTATTATTATTATTATTATTATTATTATTATTATTATTATTATTATTATTATTATTATTATTATTATTATTATTATTATTATTATTATTATTATTATTATTATTATTATTATTATTATTATTATTATTATTATTATTATTATTATTATTATTATTATTATTATTATTATTATTATTATTATTATTATTATTATTATTATTATTATTATTATTATTATTATTATTATTATTATTATTATTATTATTATTATTATTATTATTATTATTATTATTATTATTATTATTATTATTATTATTATTATTATTATTATTATTATTATTATTATTATTATTATTATTATTATTATTATTATTATTATTATTATTATTATTATTATTATTATTAATTATTATTATTATTATTATTATTATTATTATTATTATTATTATTATTATTAATTATTATTATTATTATTATTATTATTATTATTATTATTATTATTATTATTATTATTTCTTTGCCATTCTTTTTGTGAAGAGAATATGGGAATGCGTATGATTCTGATGGATCCCAGGGTCGTTCCAGAATTTGACACTTTGGAAAGTCATCAATCTTTTTATTTTTAAAAAGACATATATCGTTAGCGAAGCTGCTGTCACTGCTGCGCATTTCTGTGCTGGCAAGGTTGTCTCTTATTTATTATAGATGGTAGGTTTTGCATCGCTGAGATCATGATCAACATCAGTGGTAGAATTTTCACAATCCTTACATGTATTAGTTCTTTTATTAGGTGGTTCAATCGTATTTTTAGTTTTTTTTTTCTATTCTTTGAAAATATGAAGTAATTGGTTTGAACCGTTTTTGGTTATATTGAGATGCCTGAAATAATCAGCAGAATATAGAAACCTGTTCTATCTCTAAAAATATATTTTTTTGTTATCTATTCCGCTTTTCCCTATTTTCTCAAGAAGAGTAATTACTACATGGAAGGAATACAAGGAATAATAAATCCAGTGTTTGACTCCAACCCCTGCAAACCAAATACCATTTGTATCAAAGGCTAAGTTGTCATTCACATTTAAAAATGTAGTCTTCGGAGGTGTACCAAATCAGCTAGCTTAAAAGTAATACAAATTCATTCATAAGAAAATTGTCGGATCTATTCCTTAAATAAGTGTAGAATCGCAAATTTATTCAGATTTCGACCGCTACGCTACTGAACGTATCTAAGAACTGGGCTTGAAAGGAACGATAAGGATGATTCCGGGCATCTCGAACAGTTTGGCATGTTGGAGTGCAAAAACTATACTGATAAGAAAGTGGTTTTAATGACGATTTCTAAGGGTGAATTTATTCAGGGAAATCTTATATAAGAGCAATTCTAACGAATAGATTGTGTTTTTCTTTCGGGAAAATACGAATATAGGTAGAAAGAACATAATATAAAAAACCCGTAATCACTTATTTTCGATTTAATACAGAATTTTATTATTATTTTGTATTTTAATTTGGAGTTCTACAAAAAGGAATGTTTGGATAAAGTTGCGAGTTCGGGCCTGTAAATTATTGATGGTTTCTTCCAAATTTTCCATATAACAGAGATACAATAGATCCGGAAGTTGGTGACAGGATGGATCCATTATCCGCCAAGTTCATAATCATGGTTAACTCATTATAATATACGTCCGGTAGATAAACATTGATGAAGGATTAGCTGATGCCCATGTCCCGACATTAGATATCCCATTAATATAAATTAGACAGAGAAGCGTCAGCTCAGCTTTGGACTTTTTCAGCAACCCTAAAAAATTTAAATATCCACACAAACTTCACAAAGTTACGATAGATTAAATTATTTTATTTCTGGTAACAGATATTGCAAAAAACGAAAAACCATTGTCACAGATGCCATAGTAGATTTCACTAACGATTTATAAATAGTAATTAGCAATATTTGAGGTAAGAATTTACTCTTTACGTAAAATGGGTAGATATATTAAATAGAGGGATAATTAATTCGACCAACGTGTAACCAGATTTTTAATTACAAATAGACGCAATTATCGAATAAAACAGAGGTAAGTAATATCAAATGAAATGGAAATGGTAACATAAGATAGTAAGGAGTAATTTTTTGTGTTACTAAAACCTTTGAACGACTAATCAAATTAAGGCTGGAACATTTCATAGAAAATAAATTGCTACTGCCGCCAGCACAGTATGGTTTTCGTAGAGGGCTAGGTACTATAGATGCACCGAGCCATCTTGTATCTGATATCCAAATATGTTTTTCCAAAAATCAGTATATGTTGTGTCTTTTTGTTGACCTGACTGGGGCTTATGATGTAGTAGATCTGAACATTTTATTCCAAAAAATGACAGAAAAATAATGTTTCAAAATGAACCAACAAGAAGGATGCATTCACGCAGAATCTGAAAATACCCGTTTGCTTGTTTCTTAAAAAAAGAGATATGTTGCAACAGAAGAACAAATAATGCTGACTATAGTTCAATTTCCTTGCCGGAAATTATCGCTAAAATCAGGGGAATTCCGTTTCACGATTTGACACGAATTTGATATCAAACTCAATAATAGCAATTTCGTGCAGTGATTTTTATTTGTAAAATAATATATTGAAAGAACTGGTCCGAGTACTGAGCCTTGCGGTATACCAAAATCGATTAGATTATTGTCACTGAATCACCAAATGCTTACGACACAGTGGACCTAATTAACTCAAAAATATACTACCATCGTAGGTAACACATATTTTTTTAGATGTGTCCTTTAAGATAATATATATAGCCATCCGGGCAGTTATTTCGAAAACCTGTCCAATCGACCGATAAATACAATATTATTTTACATAATAGGTTACTCTAGC